ACTCCTTGGAGGCAAGGATTCTGAAGTGCCATCTGCCATGCTTTGGACATGCTGCAAGGAGGGACCAGTCCTTGGAGAGGGACATCATGCTTGGGAGGGTGGAGGGACAACACAGGAGGGGAAGGCCCTTGATGAGATGGATTGACTCAGTGTTTGGAGTAACGTGTCGAAGACAGTAAGGTTGGCTCGGAATAGAACAGAGTTCAGAGCTGCTATGCACAGAGTTGCTATGAAAACTCAATGGCACACAACAACAACAACATCATACAATTAACAGGAAAAAACTATTTAGTTAATATTTGTAGCCAGAGTGCTTAGGTTCAAATCCTACCTCTGCTACTAAAGGTAGTATCTTAGGAAAGGTACTTATTCTCTCTATATTAACTTTCCTATGTGAAAAATATAATCTAACAACTTTGTCAAAACAACTAAATTCTATAATATACCTATGCCATTATTTCTTCCATATTCTACGTAGATAATAAGTATTTACTGAATTAAATGTACCAGCAGAAATTTTGCCCCAGAATGGGAACCTCAACACTTGACACATCCTCAACACACCTTAAACAGGAAGGGATGCTGTCCATGACTGGCTCACATCTCAAGGCCATCTGAGGGTCACCACTCAGACAAGCATGTTCACTGGGCTAACTGCGCATCCTGGCTCCAATCTTCTGCTGGGCTGACAGATGCACTGTCTTAGGCCAGACGGTTTGTTTTCTATTTCCCATAGTATGCATGCTTGCTTTACATTTGCATTCTTGCTTGTTTTCAGTTTGCTGTCATGAGAGAGTGATGAACAACCTTTTCCCAAGGAATTTACAGCCTCTGAAAACCCACTAAAGGGTCAACTATGACCTTAAACATTTTCTGCAGAAGGTCAAGGACTACAGGCATCAGTATAGATTGAAGCTCAACATCAAAAAGACAAAGATTCACATCACTGGTAAAATTGGCAGTAAAATGATGTAAATGGTAAATGGTAAAAATGATAGGTGGAGAAGAGACTGAGGTTGTTAATAATTTCAGCTTGTTCAGTTCCACAATCAACACTCTTGACACCAGCAGTCAGGAAACCAAAAGATGAATTGCTCTGGGGAAAGGTGCTGTTCAGGACCACTCCAAAATGCTAAGAGCAAACCAGTATAAAAGAAAAAGTTTATGCTTAAAAAAATTATTATAAAGAACAATTATGTCAGTCTGGCGACTAAAGTATGCCTGATTCAGGTCATAGTCTTTGCAATTTCTTGCTAAGCATCAGAAAGCTGGACAATGACCAAAGATGACAGAAGAATAATTGATGCCTTTGAGTCGTGGTGCTGGAGAAGAGTTATGAACATACTATAAACTTCCAAGAGAACAAGCAGATTTAACCTGGAGGTGGTGAAGCCAGGCTGCTCCTTAGAGGCAAGGTTTTTAAAGCTTCGTTTCACCTACTTTGAGTATATGGCCTGAAGGAATCAGTTCCTAGAGGAGAACAGAATGCTTGGAAGAGTGGAGGGACAGTGCAGGAGAAGATGGTCCTTGATGAGTTGGATTGACACATTAACTGAGTTTATGAGGGTAGATGTGTCAGAGGCAATGAGATTGGTTCACGACAGGGCAGGGTTCAGAGCTATTGTACATAGGATCACTGAGTTGCCGGTTACATGCCACCTAACAACAATAACATGAGTCAGTCAAACAATATATCACCTAACAGCACTTATGTTTTGCTGTACTGAGGTGACTTGTGTGTTACTGTATTGCTAGAAACTATGCCATCAATATTTCAAATACTAGCAGAGTCACCCCACGGTACAAGCTTCAGAAAAGCTTCCAAATAGAGGCTGACAAAGAAGCAGGATTGACCTTCTATGAATACTTGAGGAACATAGATTAAAGTGCCAGAAGAGAAGCCCATTAGGTTATAAGACACTCAAAAACTGAAGAGAAACAGCAACAAACATTCATTAATATTTGGAACATGCAGCATACAAAGAATAAATTCAAGAAAATTTGAAGTTGTCAAAAATTAAATGGAGCCCATGAAGATTGACATCCTATGTGTTCATTCATTGAGGTGGACTAGTACTGACCATTTTAAATAAGACGATCATATTATTTATATTTCTGGGAATGTCAGATTGAAGAGGAATAATTTTGAATTCCTACTCAAAAAGAATATTTCAAGATCGTGAAGTACAATCGGTACTAGCCATAAGCATGCAAAGAATATGTTGATAGAATTATTACTCAAATATACACAACAACTAATAATACTAAAGATGAAATTAAAGACAGCCACAAACATTTGCAGTCTGAAATTTATTGAACATGCAATCAAGATACATTAACAGTAATTGGTGACTGGATTGTAAAAGTTGTAAACAAAGAAGAAAGACTTGTAGTTGGAAAATATGGATTGGTGATAGAAATCCAACTGGCAATTGCAGGACAGAATTTTATATAAATTATTTATAGATTTATTTGATGTAAATAGCTTTTTTAAAAAGCATAAACAGAAATTATGCACATAGACCTTACCTAATGGACTACATGGGAATCAGAATTCAAAGGAATCAATCGAGACGTTTAATATAAGTAGTCAAACAATGTCAGGGGAAACTATGGAAACACTATCAATTACTCATGTGCAAGCGGAAATGAAAGAGGAAGAGAATGAAAACAAATCCATCAGAACCAAAATAGGACCTTGAATTTATCCTATCTGAATTTTAAAACTATGTCAAGAACAGATTTGATGCATTGAACACTAATGACAGAGACAAGTGTGAAACATAATTCATGTAGAAAGCAAAAAATTATTGCAATGATGGGGAGAAGATCAAACTGGATTTCAAAAGACATTGAAACAGAATGGAATGCAGAGAGGACAAAACAAAGGGAAGAAATGATAAAGAAAGAGATCTGAACAGAAGATTTCAAAGGGCAGCTTAAGAAGACAAAGCAACATATTAGATTCAGTTGCACAAAGAGCTGGAGTAAAAAAAAATAAAAGGGAAAGACACACTCAGCAATTCTCAAGCTCAATGAACTAGAGAATGAATCAAAATCTCAAGTTGCAGGTCTGGTGTGAAAAAAACAATGTATATAAACTTTATGAACTTTGTATGTAAACCAATATGAAATAAAATTTAAAAAGAAATAAAAACCAATAAAAAACATAGAATAAAAAAAAATCTTAAATTGCACTATGGAAAGAGTCTATGGGAAAAATACTAAATGAAGCAAGGACATATCAAAAGAAAATGGAAGAAATGCAGAAAGTCATTAAACCAAGAAAAATTGGTCAACACAGAACCATTGCAGGGAGTAGAATACGATTAAGAAATAATAATAGTAAAGGAAAACATCCAAGATGTACCCAAGACTTTGAAACAAATAAAAGTAAACACCAAAAAAATTTAGACTCCAGGAATTGATGGAACACCAACTGACATATTTTAACAAACAGATGCAGCCGTCGACATGTTCATTAGTCTGTGTCAAAAAATTTGAAAGACAGCTACACGGCCAATTGATTGGAAGAGATCTCTATGTGTTCACATGGGGGGGGAGTGATTCAACACAGTGTGGAAATTATTGAACAATGTCATTCATATTAAATATATATTTAGGGAACTCTGGTGGCCTAGTGGCAAGAAGCTGCACTCCACTCTTGAAAGTGCATAGTTGAAGGCTGGGCTAGTTCTTGGGAAAAGCTTTCATCCTTGGAAAGAGAGGAAGACCTTCAATAAGATGAACTGACACAAAGCATATATTGGCACAGGATAAAGCAAAATGTTATCTGGTACATAGGGTCACTGTGAGTCAAAGTTTAACTTACAGTACCTAAGAACATGAATCCTCATGTCATTTACATGATGGAAATGGCCACAATTTTATAGATGAAGAAACATGCATAAAGAAGCTGACTTAGTGAATACTAACGGTCTCCTGATTTTCAGGGAAACAACCAATACATTTCTCCTCAAAAATATAATATTGCTATGAACATCAGTGTACAAATCTTCATTTGTGTCTCAGTTCTAATTTTCTTGGGGTATATCTCTAGCAGTGGAATAGCTGAGTCATATGGAATTTCTACTGAGAAAATGTCAAACTGCCTTCCAGGGTGGCTGTACCATTTTGCAATACCACCAATGTATAAAAGTTCCTATCTCTCCACATCTTCTTTATTTATTACTTGCTGTTCTAGTAAACTACTGGAGAGAGATGGTATCTCATTGTGGTTTTGATTTGCCTCTATCCTATTGACAGTAATTTCAAGCATCTCTTCATATATCCATTGGCCATCTGAATTTCTTCCTTTGTGAAAAAATGTTGTTATTGGGTTATTAGCCTTTTACTTGTTAAAGTCCTGTAGGATTCTGTAAACTTTCATAATTCACAATAAGAAAATAAAAACAGCCAAAATTTCCGTCAACTAAAGAATGGCTTGAGAAACTGTGGTACATTCACATGATGGAATACTATGCAGCACTCTGGAGCAATGATTTTGAAAAATCCTATATAACACAGGAGAGACCGGAGAGCATTTTGCTGAGTGAACCAACTCAGTCTCATATGGACAACTGCTGTATAAGACCATTATTGCAAAAAATAGAAGGATAACTATGAAGTGTGCACCAAAGTACAAAGGGGGAAGGGTAGGTGGGAAAGGGAGCTGAGGGTGGGGAGAGCAGAAATCTTGAAGAAGCAGAATTTGGTGAGCAAAGCAAGGAATTAGGAAAGACACAGTGGGGATCTGAAAAGGTGAGGTAATGATGGGCATGGGATAATGGTTGATTAATTTTATAAAACACAATGTATGGGAATGATGTGAAACACAGTGTTAATGGAGGAATGCATGAAACAAAATGTATGTAAATGAATATAAAATAAGATTTTAGTTAAAGACAATACTATTTTCAATAAAATCTATGAGCTACTTATGCCTTTATTCATAGGCTAATGTTCTAAGACAAATGTTCTACTAAGTCCTATCTATTTACCTGCTAGGCTGCTTCTGTTCCTGCTCAGAGACACAATCACTGGATTTAACGAAGAGATGTATGCAAATGCAGCCGGGAGAACTACAGAGTGGCCCCCTCCTGTCACAGTCACATTCACCACTGATTCATCTTCCCCCTGAAAAGAAATTTTTAGTAAAGAAACTTCAGTAAGTAAGACTAACTTTGGCGAAGAAAGTGACAAATTTGTTTGGAGGGTTAATATCAAGATAACACTGCATTAGGACAGTGAGTGGAAGAACTATCTGAAAGGAATGCATGATTAGCCTTTAAATGAATAGCAACAACCTAGAACAAGAGGTGCAATGCAAAGTGGACTGGGGCAAGAGGAAGGGAGGACAATGTGCAACACAGAATGAATTTTTAAAAAGCAAATTGTTTTTAAAAGGTTTATTTGACATGTTCCAGGAACATCCAAACATCTGCAGAGTAGAAAATGATTAGTCTATCCAAGCCCAAACTTAAACAGATGCAGAGGGACATGCTCTAAAGAGTAACTAAAAATGACCTGCAATTAACAATCCAATTGTTCCTAAATGAATGGTAGTTTTAATCTGTTTGTGGAAGGCTTAAAATAATTTATTCTCCAAAGTCTGCAAGAATTTTATAAAATCACACAAAACCACCTTCCTCCAAACACAGATTTGCATAGTAAATTTTTCCAAACTCTTAAAAGTACTGAATTTCCGGTCAACTCCTTTTAAATTATGACTAATTTCCAACTTGCAAAATGTAAATATAATTGCATATTTCCTAACTTCAGGACAAATAATAATAATGAAATACATTTCATACAAGACAGCTGTTATCAGACCTGCATTCTTTCTCCATACCTTGCTGAAAGAGTCCGTCCATGGGCAAAATATTAAATGATGTATCAAGAGAAGATGGAAGGAATATGCAGTGTCACTCTACCAAAAAGAATTGGTCGACACTGAGTAATTTCAGGAAGTAGCCTATGATTGAGAACCAAAGGTAATGAACGAAGAAGTTCAAGATGCAGTGAAGGCATTTTCTTGGTGAAAAACAAAGCATTAGGAATTGTTGATGACAGAAGAAGAATTGATGCCTTTGAGCTGCGATGTTGGAGAGGAGCTCTGAACATCCCATGAACGGCCAGAAGAACAAACAGGTGCCTTAGAGAGGGTGAAGCCGGAGTGCTCTTTGGAGACAAGAATAGTGAGGCTTCACCTCATATCCTTTGGACATGTTGCTAAGAGGGCTATTCCTTGGAGAGGGGCATGATATTGGGAAGGGTGGAGGGTTGGTGAAGGAGAAGAAGACCCTCAACCAGGTGGATTGACATGGTGACTGCTGCAATGGGCTCAGGAATGTGAAGATGGCACAGGATAGGACAAGGTTCAGGTCCACTATTCACAGGTTCACTATGAGTTGTACTCAACTCAATGGCACCTAACAACAACAACAGAAATTAGTGGACAAACAATTGAAATTTTCAGTAAACAGACACAACACCGAACATGCTTTCCATGTTTTCTATGCCAAGAATGGAAAGTATACATCAAGACTATATGAAATATGATGTGAATGAAGATAGTGTGAAAAATGTGTATCCACTTTGTAAACAAATTAATTGTTGTTGTTGTTGTTGTTGTTTTGTTATGTGCCGTCGAGTAGCATGCGACTCATAGCGACCTTATGTACAACAGCCCTAAACTCCGCTCTGTCCTGTGCCAATCGCACTGTCTCTGACACTCCCATCCCAATTATTCCAGTCACTGAATCAAT